GTGATGTGAAATCGACATATGAACAGCAAGAACAAGCTATAGCTCCGTGACCTGAAGCTAACTAACATAACTATATAAACACTATAACTCGAATAAACACTATCTTTAATTAAATGGTATGTAGTATCAATCTTTTTTTTATTTCAATTTCATTTTATTTCCTATTTATTTATATTAAGCTGGCCAAAAAATGTCCAAACTATTTCAAAATATTGAATTGTCTTTAAATTGATGATCGCTTCTAAAAAATATACTAAATTGGCAGCCCAGTAAATACGAATATTATTAAGATCTTCATGTATATTGTCTATTGTTAAAAAGAAAAGAAACTAGTCCACAATTTTCGTTAATTTATTAAATTCGAGCGTCGATTCTATTGTTAATTCTCCGACTTGTTCTTGTTCACATAAATTACAATTCGCTTGTATATGTATTTGTGCCTCCTTTCCCACACTTTTCATTGGTTGCATCTTAAAAAGCTTCGCAACACTGTCCATAAACCACTTTTGACCCGTGCACAGCGTCCTTAACCTTTTGTGCATGCGCGTGTTGCAGCTGTTGTTTTCATGCCTATTTCCTCTGGCTACTTGCACAATTTTCCCAATACATAACACTGTATCTGTGTATGTGTGTGGAGTTGTACGAAAAACGTGTCGGACCAGATTGTTGCAGACAATCTGCCGACTATTGACACAAGTCTGCGGCGGCAGTACGGCAATCCGGCCGAGCGATTGCAACAACGGCAGCACAAAAGTAAACTTTAACAAAACATTTTTTAGCCATTTTTTTTTAGCCTCATCATCTTCCTTTTGTTTGCGATGGCAACGAACAGGAACTGGCGGACTTAGACGCAGTTAAAGTTTTTCGGCCTGCGCCATGCAATTTCTTTTATTTTTTGTAACTTTTGTTTTATTTTGCTGCTTCTTGTTGTTGCCATTTCTTAATGTCAATTTGTGTATTATATATAGGAGCTCACACACACATACACACTATGTATACATAGAGAGATATGTCGTGGCTTTGTTTTTGTGTCGTGTAAACAAAAATTGCCGCCAACAAGCCGACAGCAACATGCAACGTGCAGCAAGCAACAACATCTGCTGCTGCTGCTGTCCGTTGCGCATGCGTCTGTTGGCCTGACGAAGCCCGAAAATTGCCTGCCATTTGGTGGTGCTACCATCTGAAATTGTTCATGCTAGACGGAGTGCAACTTTGTCGCCTCTCCGCCAAATTGCTGGCAAAGGTTTTTGCGTTTTCCTATACGCTTCGGTTTTATTATTGTTTTGTTTTTATTATTTCTGCATATTGATTTCATAATTTCGAGTTGGATTTTCAATTTTAGACTTTCACTTTTCACACACTTCTTCTTCTTTTTATTTTGTATACTTTAAAGAAATTAGTTATGAATAAACAAACTTTTTATAATCGTGCTTGGAATGCTGACCAAATGTTGTTCTTTTATTTAAAATTCTGCTTGAATACAAAGTTTTATAGCAGCAGAATTTGAAATTGCTGTGAACAATTGAAGGTGCTAACACTTTATTGCTTTAACTATATTTATTTTATTTGTTGTTCAATATACTTTTAGAGTTAAATGGGTACTATTTTCAACATATTCTTTGTGCTTTATTTAAAAGCAAAATTCAGGTTTATTTACTGATTGTTCGACACCAAATATTTGGAAACAACTTATATGCAAAATATCTATAATAACACTTTTTTTTTTAAGTTTTATTAAAAGTATTTGACACCTTCGATGATACTTCTTATGACACAATTTAAGGCTCTACCTTGCCAATCACTTTCAAAAATATGTAATCAGGCGGCCTATTGCTAAAAAATAAATAAATAAAAAACATAACGCCCCAAAAGCATTTACGCAATGACCATAAAACCTCAATTAGACACAATTAGCTCAGCCAAATAACCAAAAATTTCACATCATAAATTTGTTGGTAAATCTTGTGGTCAATAATGAAAGTGAAACTAAGCCAACGGATGCCAAAGCAGAAGCTCAAAATGAGCGGCCGATGGACCAGTTTCGTTAGACAATCAAAATCATTAAAGGCATCATAATCCAAAAGAGCAACATAATAATATCAGACAAATATAACAAACACCTTCGATGAGCCACAGCTCACATAAGAAATGGCCAAAAGTAACAATCAATTATTGTGGCCGGCAATTTGTTGATTAGACACATTGTAATTGAGATATTGATATAATTTTTGCAAATTTGAAATCCATAAATCGTAATTGCTTTCCCTAAGCTCAATTGTAAGGGAAATATATTATTTAAAAGAAGGCATGCAGGCAAATATAAAAGCTAGAAATTAAACGTTAATCTGTGATAGTACAGTGCCTTTGTAGTGATAGTGCAGTGCTCTTAAAGTAGTAGTGCAGTGCTAATGCAGTACAGTCGGAGTAGAAGAAGCCCACTTTTGAGAAGTCTTTGGCTTGTTGTGTTTACATTTCGGATCTTTGAAAGAAAATAGTCTTATTTGGCATTCTGCATTTTCAACGAGCCGTTCAACTGTCAAAATATTGGTTTATGTACTTTTCACGTGGGTTCCATGATCTTCCACGATTGCCAGGCCCATTCACCTTTTCCCTTTTTGGGTGGCTCAACATGCACTTGAAGTTGTTTTTTTCCCTCAAATTTGTTGCGCATATTTGTGAGTCGAGCGTGTGTGTGTCTGTTTGCTTTTTTCTTTTGTTAATTTCTTGACCACTCGAAGTGAACAGGTTTATTATCTGGCATTGTTGTTGTTGTTGCTGTTGTTGGTGTTGCAGCTTTAAACGCTGTCATGACTCTTTATGGCTTTTACTTGTTTCATTCGCGGCAGCATAGCAGCGCACTTCCTTTGCATCTTCATTTAATCAAGACAAAGTTTTCGGCTACAGATTTTTGATTTTATTTTATTTTTCCATATACTTATTATTATTTGTGTTGAAAAGGGAAAGTTCATTGAAGCGTTTAGCTTGGCTTTAAAGCCGCATACATATTTTTACAATTATTTGATATGAAAATATGCATTGGGAATTATTGACTTCATTAGCCTAGGCCTACAACATAATCAAGCGGGTAAGTCTTATGCAAGTGTTCGGCTTGTGAGGATTGAAATGCGGGCTGGCTTAAGTTTTACGCAATTCCAATGCCATTGTAATATGCTGTTTTTTCCGCATCATAAGCTCCAACAGATACGTCATGACTGCGAATTTGTAGGGCAGTTTGATATTCAATGGCACTTTGATGACTTACACAAAAAATGGCAACTTTCTTTGACTATAAACTGTGTCACACCGTCAACACAACGAGACTGTAAAGCTGGACAATAAAAAAATGAGAGCTCCAATATGGATAAACATTTGCATACCATTCAATGGAAATGCAAATTGAATAACACACTTATCAAATAAATATTTGACATATATTTGAAGCAATGCTTTTGTTTGGTTTTTGGGGCACGCTCTTCAGAATAAATTATCGATCAGATATGAGTTGTGAGTCTATTAGCTCATATAAGTATGTACAAATATGTCAATAAATCAATCGACTAAGCTTGTCTTAATAGTTCCATTAATACAAATAACAGCCACAAATTGCTTGCTTGGATCACATTCATTAAAATATGCAAAACTTTGTGAGTATGTGGAGCGCCAAGTCTCGGCAGTGTCGCTGAGTCAACTCTACTCACTTTCTACAGTACTTTCTTTTAACTGGCGGCACTGGGAACTTGTCTTTCACAAATGTGCTAAGAATTAAAGCATAAACAGGAAAGAGCTAGACAAATGTGTCTATGTTTTATTTCACTTCAACTGTCCATAAAAAAAGCGCGCATTTCCAATATTTAGTTTTTTGCATGGAATAGAAATGCTTTCAGCCTTTCTATGTTTTAATATTTAAAGCCTTCCATATTAATAGCTTTTCATATCAACTATTATTCTGTTTCATTCATTATCTCTTCGGTTAAAAGAATGGCACGTCGCTTATTTTATTATTTTTATTTTATTTTATTGAAACAGAAAGAGTTCCATATTAAACACTCGTATAAGTTTGATAATGGAATAGAATTGCCTTCAGCCTTTCTATGTTTCAATATTTAAAGCTTTTCATATCAACTATTATTTTGTTTCATTCATTATCTCCTCGGTTAAAAGAATGGCACGTCGCTTTTATTTTATTGAAACAGAAAGAATGAATGAATTAAACACGCGTATAAGTTTGATAATATTATTAATTGATTTACAAAACTATATTTTCAAAGGCAAAGCCTATACAAGAACGTGTCTATTTTTAAAATTTGTATAAACTTGAATGATTTTATTTAAACAAGTGTTTAGTCTGTTTCATTAATTATCTCCTCGGTTAAAAGAATGTCACGTGGCTTTTATTTTATTGAAACAGAAAGAATGAATGAATTAAACACGCGTATAAGTTTGATAATATTATTAATTGATATACAAAACTATATATAAAAGGCATAGCATATACATGTAGAACGTGTCTACAAACATGATAACAAAAATGTAAAAATTATTGTATATCGTTTTATGAATTTTTATTTTTGAAATTGTCTTAAACTTGTATGATTTTATTTAAACAAGCGCTGTTTCATTCTTCGGTTAAAAGAATGTCACGTGGCATTTATTTTATTGAAACAGAAAGAATGAATGAATTAAACACGCGTATAAGTTTGATAATATTATTAATTGATTTACAAATTATGTTTTAAAAGGCATGGCATATTGTATTTTTTATACAAGAACGTGTCTAGAAACATGATGAGAAGATTTAATAAATTATTGTATATAATTAATAATTAACATTTTTCAAATTATTTAAAATTTTGATGATTTTATTTAAACATTTTGCTGTCTTTACTAATTATTCATACCGAATTCTTGAAACTTTGTAAAATTTTTCTCATTAAAAATCATTCTTCAATTCACTTGTAATGTACCTTTGAATAATCTGTAATTATAACTTGGCCACTTACCCCATTATGTACCCCAAAAGTGGGTGAAATAATTCCTTGCGCATGCGTTGTTGCCCCAAACAGGAACAAGGCGCTCCAAAGTGCCAATAAAACTCTCATGGTTGACACTCCAAATCACAATATTTGTTGTAGTATTGTTGTTTTTGTTTTATTTTTGTTAACGACGCGCAAGATTTCCGTTAATTGCTTGAATAATTTTTGGGTTTGATGTTATCAGTGGAATTCGATGAACTCAGCACTTTTCCTTTCAAAACAAATGCGTTAAAGACGCGAGTAGATGGGAAATGTAAAAAAAATTTCCAATGCGCGCCAGAAATGTCAGAAATGCGACAAAGAGTTAACAAGCATTATAATTTCAATACCACCACAACTTTTCTCTATTTCTGTGTTGTATGCAAATTATGCAGTTTTCAATATTCCGTTAACGTTTTTTGTTTCTCACTCGTTGTGCGTTGTGAGCGACTCGAGGGCAGGAAACTGAGGCCGCAGACACGACTTGTCGGGTAAAAGTTCGATGCTTAACTGAAGATCATTAAACGTTTGGTAACCATTTAAGCCAAGCGCGCAACTGAAGATGCCAAAACCGAAAAAGCCACACAACACCAATGACGAGACCGAGGCACAGCGTTAAGAGGCACGTGCAAATGGCCGAAGACGCTGTTGCCGATTTGACGAGCAGCATGTTGCGAAGAGCTAGAGCTGAGGCAGAAGCAGCAACGTTAGCGACAGCAACAGCAACATGTTGCTGCAACATGAAGACGCAGAGCTGTGCGCGTGTCCACGGAACCGGCTTTTTATCACGTCCACGCAAGTCATGGATTTTATTTTGGCATTTCACAATCACGCACATTTAATCGCTATTCTCATTCTTATTTTAATTAAAGCTTAGTTTTCTTTTTAATTTAATTCAGGTGCCATTTTCAAATAAAATATATATTCGTTTATTTTTAACATTTATATAAAAGTTATACAATTGAAACAACATTTTTATCATTTTCAAATCATTTCTATAATTGTTTTTTTTCACTTCCAAATGCATAGATGAAATGTTTAATTTTTTAAATAATTATGTATCTGTTTCTCAGCTTGATTGTGGTTTTGGTTTCACTAGATTTGTTATCAATATTTGTCAACTAAACATGGGTTTTTTTTAACCAATTTTTATTCAAATATGTTTCATTTTGTTTATCGTGATTGGCGAACTCATTATTTTGAGTCGCTCACGATCAGGCACAGCTCTGTTAGCTTGCCAGCCAGCAAAGAGAAAGCAAAGAGCAAAACACAGCACCTGAAAGAGAGAAAGCGCTGGCGCTTCCATTTCTTTTAAGTGTTCTGCTCAAACGATATTGTTATCAGCCGCGTATTGCGAAATTTTATCAAACCAGAAGTGGGAAATCAAATGCAATGCCACAAGTATTCACATTATCTGCTCTGGATCACGTAATTACCGCACTCGGAAGTGTGGGCCAAGTGTCGCAAATAGCGAATTGAAGGTGTACAATTCACGGCATGCATGCTGCTATTTCTCTGTAAGCCATAACAATAAATCCAACCTACTATTTGTGTTAAAGGTCGAATGCTAGAATGCGCATATAAAAGAAAATTGTGCGAAAAAATTAAGCCAGCTGGTTGACAATTTCGCATCCATTGAAGATTTTAGGTACGTCTATCTATTTACTCACCATTTAATTTTTTTTTTGCTCACTCAAACTCATTTCCGAAAGCTGTGTGAATGATTAATATTGGTTGTCTCTGAAAATTGAGTCTGCTGCTGCTGTTGATGATGATTGTGCTGCTGCTTTTGCCAACAATGTGTTATTTTCTTTTTTTTTGCAGCACCTCATTAAAAATGCGTATTTATTGCAACAACATCAACAAATTTCGGTTAATGATAATGTTTTTAAACGTCATAAGCCAGCCATATTGCCTCACTGGCTATTATCAACATTTTTTAACCGAAAATAACTAAATATTCACAAACATTTTTTGTTGTACGTGTGGTATAAAAGCTTGCGTGACGTCCCAACCCCGATAGTTTGTCAAATATTATACTCGTAGGTGAGCAGACGGTCTCTTGTTTATAGAGTTTTTATTACGATTTAAAGGGCATTTAATTTGCTTTCTTCGTTTCAGTTTTAATTAGAATGTGAGCCGGTTGTAAGCTTTCATAATTTCATTATTATCTCGAATTGTGTTTGAAATTATGGCTCATGTTTAATCCGGGAATCAGAATAATGCTTCCAAACGCGTGCTTTATACGTTTAAAAGAAAAACTGGAATGGACAGACAAACAACATTAAGATTGCTGATCACACATCTTTATACTGCAAGCGTCCTTTGGCTTGGCTCACAATTCAATCAATGATCATGTGATTTATGTTCACTGGGGCCGTTGCAGGCAGGTGAAAATATTTATAGCTTTATATTAGGATTGTGTCTGATTTCCCACCACACAACAAAGAAAGCCATCAAATAATAGTTAGGCAAACAAAGGCCCCCAATGGACAACAGACGCCTTGATGACCAGTTGGGCCAGACAACAGACTGCTGGCGCATCATCAGCCAAATCAGCAGGGCCATTATCTTTCGACCAAACGTGGAAGTGTGGCTCCCGACCCTTCCATGGTTAGCAACAAGACATTTGATCCGCCTATGCGCATGCGCACGCTTACGCAATCCGAGATGCACCGAGGAGAGACCGTTAAGGTCTAGAATGGCGTTGGACGAGGGTTAAAGCTAATGGGCCATGGCCTGACACATATATTTTAGGTTGCTTTTCGGAAAGTGAAAATTTATTAATGAAAGCTGGCGATGAAATGCGCGTCCGTTTGTTTTATTTTATTTTATTTTTTTTTGTTTGCTGACGCATGAGCGATTGGTGCAACAAGAAAATTGCCGCTGCTGTTGTTACAGTTGTTGGTGTAGTAATTGTGGAAAGCTGAAAATGCAATAATTTGTTGATTGGGTTAGGTTGCGTTTTGATAAAGCTAAGCTTGTTTGCACAAGCGGAAATTTTCGTTTCTAAAGACCTTATCTGAAGAGACAGAGATTTTCCAATGGCTACTGAGACTAGATCAGGGTGCAATTAAATTTCTAAAAAAAAAAAAAAAACAGTAATATAAACGTGAACAATGATCAGCAAAATCTGATTATTTTAAAAATATCTGAACTTTAGTTGGAATATTATAAATGGCTAATAATAGCGACTCGACCCTATTAATATAGAACTTATGGCTCATGTAATTCTATCATTTTATTATCTTCTCTTTTACTAAAAAGAAGAGCAGCCCCCTTTCATTTTTGATTCCCAAATTTAACAGAAGGACTACCTTGAATAAACGCTTGTATATATTGGGGAGGAGTTAATTATATTAATTAATTATATATTATAGTTTGGATCTAGACATGTCCATCCGAACGGATGAACGCCTGGTTTTTGGATACGACTGATCATATGTTAATAAAACTTTGTATGTAGACTCTTCTAATCCCCTACCTTCCCCGCTATAGAGTTTTGTCAACAGTGTCCACAATTTTAAAGCTAAATAAATAAATTGTGCATTTCATTTCATTGAAATCGATCAATTTTAAGAACATTATTTTTATTTCAATGCTACGCCCACAAATTGCAGTATCGAGTTTCATCTTTTTCGTTTGTGCTCCTGCTTTGCACGCATATTTGTTTGGGGAGTTTGTTTTAGAATAGAGTATTTCTACTGTAGAATTTCCGCTTGTTATTCTTAAATAAATAGCATATTATCATTATTGATTTCGAGCTAACGACGGTACTGATAGTTCTTGAGACAATTTTTACATTAAATAATTATGAAAATAAAAGCCTTAGTTGCAAATGAAAATAACAATTCTAATGAATCGCATCGGATTAATTTTATTTTCCATTATTTCATTCAAACGGTCATTGGTAAAGATTTTGCACTTTTTACTACCATTTTGTCTATATATTTTCGCTGATGGATATAAAATCTTAAGCAAATTCACTAAATACTGTACAAATAACAACAACAACAACGAAATAATGTGCTTGAGGGAGAAAGACTTTCACCTTGCTGCGAATCATCTGAGAAAAAAGGTGAAGCGTAGAAGAAAAAACTGAAGCCGAAACAGAAGAGGCAGCATCCAAGGCAGAGGCGACCGACGTCGGCCTTCGTTGCCAAGCAATAGCAATGGCAACAACAACAACAACAACAACAGTAACAGCAGAAAGCTATAGCAATAACAAGTGATCATGAGCGCACATCTCTGCTCACAACAACAATGTCGACTGGATGAGCCACAGCAAAGACCCCACAGCGCATGTCAATAAACCTTTAACTCGGAGAGGGAGACGATGACGAAGATAAAAAAAAAACACAACAACAACAACAAAAACTGGGAGGTTGCAGAGACTCTGCCACTGGTTATCAACTTGGGCTCCATTTGGAGGCTCTGAGTGTGAGGAAGCAACTTTTACTTTTCATTCAAGAAGCTAAACGTTGCGCTTTTCAACACCTTTTAGAGCGAATTAAGTCATTTGGATGGAGCCGCAATATATATCTGTGGGCAGATCCCTAGATACTTAGAATTCTACTTTCTCGAAGCGCGGCTGAGATGTAATTGTGTCTGTCAGCACCCCACGCAATTATTAGAAGCTCTTCGTGGAGTATTTCCCAAGAAAAGTGAAAATAAGTAAATAATCAAAATAAAAAATGTACAGTCGTGTCTCTAATTTGTAGCCCACCAATTGCTTTATTGCCATGTTATTAATTAAGCAGACTTGCATATTAAATGTTACAAACGACTGCTTAAAGCTAGTTTTGAAAATAGCTACAACAACATTCATAAGTTAACGAAATATTTTTGTAAATAAAATTGCTTGGCTTTTTGCCGCCATCGGAAATTGCATAATAAATGGCAACACTCTCGAATTAAAGCAAATCAAATAAAACTTTAATGAATAGGGCTGCAAACACCGTTAAACAGCCTTGGCCCTTGGGGCACTGCGAATGGTGTCGAATGATATCATCATTAAAGACCAACGAACGAGCGAATGGGAAGGAAAATATCGCACGAATGTTTGAATGAGTTAGGTTTTACAACACCATCATTTCCGTTTCGATTGATTGCTAACTAGATGATTTCGGACAGATATAACACCATATAATGAAGACGATAATTACTCATTAGTTGTCGCATGAAATAGTGCAAAATGTGTTTGGTCGATTCGAGAGAGAAATAGCTTCAAAATAACTTAAATATAGTAAGTTTATACGAGTAAGTATTCGCGATAGGGAAGCAGGAACTAAAGGTAGAGAACACAGAAGAGTGCAGAAACATTTTCCTCGACAGCTACGCAGCTATAAATTGTTTGGAGGCGTGCATTGTCTGGGCCTAAAAAGGACATTAAGGGCAACAAAATGGCGGATACTCAGACAAAGCAAGGAACAGGGCTAGCAGAGAAAGGCAGGAACTCATCTCACTAAGAAAGCAAATACGGAAATTTCTATAAACCGAATTTTAGATGAGTTTAGATGAGGATTAATTTAAAATCTTTTTTCTATTTAAAAAGACTCATTTAAGTAGACCTCTAGTTACATTATTTTAAAGATCAATTTTAGACACGTAACCATTTTTTAAATATTTTAAACGTAAAGCGAAGCTTTTGCATGCATCCTGCCAACCAAGGCGCTAACTTCCTCCCGAGAGCCCGGCTTAGCCAACTTTTAAAACAGAGGTGGCTAGAAGTTTCCAGTAGAGTTAACATGGATGGCATCCAATAATTTCTATAGTAAAAAGCGCACACTCTCTCCGCCATTGTGCGGCACTAAACAGCCTTTAGGGGCAACCCTTTCTAAACTCTCCTCAAGAAGATACCAAAAAAATAGGGTACAGTTTTGAATTTTGAGTACATAATTTTTGTTTTATTTTTAAATTAATTATATTGATTACAGACTGTTTTTATTTTAATGTTTCTTTCCTTGTCTCTATACATTTAATATGGTTCATAATTTTAAAATTGATATATTTTGTTTACATTTAAAAGTAAGTTTGTTGTGTTTTGTTTTTTGTTTTGCATACATTTTGCATATCTTTGTTTATAGTTTTCATTTTCGTTTCCATTTTTATGTAAATTTCCTCCTTTCTTTTGTTTAAAACTACATTTTAAATTCGAACACACTTTGTAAAGAAAGTATTGCATATTCATCATCATTCACAATTCGATCGAAACATGCAAAATACATAAAAGCAAGTTTTTTTTTGTTTTTTTTTGCATTTGGAGCAGCAAAGAAGTGTTAAAAAATTAACAAGAAACGTTTAAATAATACATAGACGGGGGGGACAAAGCAAAGTAAAAATTGCAAATATCTATTATAGTATATATAATAGTCGGGGTGTGTAATGCGATATATATTTCATTACACAAGTCATGAGCAAAATTGCATTGGTTTACAGTAATGTCTATAAAAATAATTTGATTATAAATACGCGTGTACACAAGAAACAATTTGCAGATATTTTTCATTCTTCCATGACCGTCTGAGACGTCGAGTCATTGGAGAAATATGTAAATGCCCTTGGCATTTGTAATAATTGCTGTTATTGTTGTTGTTCTTTTTGTTGTTGCTGTGTTGCTTCGGATAATGTACAATATTTGAATTCATAAAATTGTTGTCTACACACACTTGTGGCATTATTATGCATAATTATTTATATTCAAAGTTTTCATTACATTCAAGTTTCGGTTTCTTTATAGTGTTGATTTAGATTTGTTGTTGTTGTTGTTGTGTTATTGGCAATAATCGCAAAGTTTCTATGTCTAATTGTAATTATGTGTATGATGTACATAATATATTAGGTTTACAGTTTAGTAAATATATGTATATTCATTAAATTATGACATGTTTCATATGCTTATAGTTTTCTTCTTTTTTTTGTTTTTTGTTGTATTTTCTCATTTAAATAATTGTTCTCATGCTTAGTACAAACTTATTGTTTTCTCGTAGGGTTTTCTTTCTTCGTAGGCTTGCAGATTTAATTCAATGGTGGACTATACGTATATGTATATCCTGATTTGCTTGATTGCCAAACAAATTAACTGACAAATACGAGTGTGTACGTTTACATTTATGTGACACTGTTGCTGCAAAACATATGGAAGCTATCTGACGTTGTTATGGGTTTTCATTAAACACAAAATACACGCATATATATACATACTATATAGGCTTATAGTTTTAACTGTTGCATTGGCCGAGTCTATAGTTAGGCATAGCATGCGATTTATATATATGTACGTATGTATATCGGCCTATAACTATGCAAACTTGTTTCTTTCTCTCTTTTTGAGCTGTATAGAGCATTTGATTTTTCTTTATAATTAGATCATCTTGTATATAAGTATTTAAATGACAAATGAAAGGAAGCTGCACAAAAAATAAAAATCATTCTTGCAATGCATTTAAAATATTATCTGAAGGATTTATAAATTATATGTATGTATTTATAGTCGACTTGCTTTCTGTTTCTTTATCTTATAGAAGTCGGTCACAAAATTATGAAAAAAGATTCTTCCTTTTTGGAGAAACATTGCTTTATGGAATATTTTTCGTGCACACTTCAAAAAATGAATTTCAATGTTGAGTCTGTGATTCGTGTACATATACATATATAATTAATATATAGTACAGTTTTGTGATTGGCTGGAGGGAAGTGTTGAATACTTTTATAATACAAATACATATAGTAGTATATATAAATACCGTTAACTATGGCAGTAGCAAATAAAATAATTTAGAGACAATACTGCACGATAATGCTTAGCGTTAAAAAGAAATGAATCAATCAAACAAAATTCAAAGAATGAAGGAAGAGTAGCGATTTGCGTTTTGGGATTTTCATTTTCATTTCATGTCGCTGATCTGGAGTTTCTTCTTCTTTTTTTTTACACAAACAAACAACAGCCACGATTCGAGCACAAATACAATCTACTGTAGACAAACATATTGGGTAACAAATACACACTCACATACACACACACTAATGCATACACATAATTATATATATAATGGTAGATAACTGACAGATCTACGCATAGCTTATATGGTACTTAGTCTAGCCGTGCGGTTCTCGCCTGCATTTCCAATTCAAGTTCCGTTTCGGACTGCTCGAGCAGTGCGTGATGTTGTTTGTGTTGCTGCTGTTGCTGTTGTTGTTGCTGTTGTTGGTAACGGGATTGATGGTACTTGGCCAGGTTGGTTCCTGGCTCGAGCCGCTGTTGTTGTTGCTGTTGCGGGTGCTGTGGGCGCCACTTCTAGCTCCAAAAGTCCATCATGTTGACGAGTTTGCATTTCTTAAGCTCCAGCTTGGTGGGTCTGGCTCGGAGTCAAGCACGTCCGAAGATAGCTCGATCGGAAACATCGCCGGTGGATTGGGAATGCGACATGGCTGCTGTGGCGCTTCCAACGGCCGCTGCAGCCGCAGTCGCCGCATTCCCCATGCCCACACCATTCAGGCCATGTGCCCCATGGTGCAGATGGTGGTGGTGGTGGTGGTTCAGTGTCGATGTTGCAATCGTCGCTGTCGAGGCATTGTGGTGCGTCACATTGTGATGGTTGTGCGCCAACGTGGAGCTGCCATATTTATTGTTGTTGTTATTGTTGTTGCTGCTGCTGATGTTGTTGTTGCTGCTGTGACCATTGAGATGCTTACGCGTGGCTGCCGAAGACACATGATGCGTGCCTCCAACGCCGCCGCCACCGCCGCCACCACCGTTGCCATAGATCCGGTGCAATGAATACTGCTGCACCGATTCCAAATCGGACACGGAGGATGTGATCTTTGAGCGCACTGCCACCTTCTGCATGCTGTTGTATTTATCGCTGACGCTTAACTTGATGTCGGGCAGGTGGCCAGAGCTCTGGGCATGACTGCGTGGCTTGGTGGTCGTAATCGATGCATTGCTCACCGCAGTGGTGCTCGTTATGGAGGCAACCACAGCACCGTTGCCACTCAATCCGTTCGCATTGGGCGAGATCTCTGCAAAGTTGTAGCAGGAGGACTTCTGTGAGATGCTATTGAGGCCGCCGCTGGAGGAGCTTGTGGACATGCGGCAGCTGCGATGACGACTCGAGGCGGATGGCTGCAAGAACTCATGGTGGGCTGCCTCATCCGGCGTCATACGCTCCGCGGGGTCCCATTCCAGACAACGTTGCAGAAAATCTATGAAATAGCGATCCTGGCAATGCAAAATCTGTGCCAGCGACTTGCTGCCCGGCGCCCGTTTGCGCCCCTTGGTGTTGGTGATGCAACGTGGCGTATCGCGCGAGTCGAAGAAGAGGCGGCGACGACGCGCCACCGAAATGAGCACCTTGGGTGGCTGCCCCAGTACTTCCATAATGCAGGCCAGCTGTTCCACCTCGTTCTCGCCGGGAAAGAGCGGAAAACCAGTGTATAGTTCCGCCAGAATGCAGCCTGCAACCAAATGGGGAGATGGGAATGTAATTAATATTGATTTTTAAAACTTAGTCACAGCCTGCAAACATTTTTTTGCCGCAGCATGCGGTCAGACAAGCGCATTGACCTTGACTTTGCCGCCCTTTTGTGGGGAAAAAGGTCGTAAATTACGAGCATTAGCATTCTTGGCAAACAGTTGAAGGTCTGTGGTGGGTAGCTAGTCAACATATACGAGTACTGTGTACAGATTTTATAATTCCCACTGCTGCATAACCGCAGCAATTTGTTACCCTAGCTTTTTCTACACTCATCTGATGTTTTTGATTTGAGATCAAAGACTTACTTCAATAGCTTCAATAGAAACCTACTCTTAAATATTCTACTAAATAAACACTTAGAACTTTAGTTCATAAATTAATAATGTGGGTGTAATATTTGGGCTCAACTTAAATATTTGAAATAGAAAGTAAGAAAGAAATAAAACTCCCTCTTTTTTAACATCCTTTTTTTTACTGCAAGACCATTTCTAAGAGTAATTTAAATTATGGATTTCTTCACTTCTTTCTTACATGCAGTTAAAATTAATATTTTGAGAAATATTTTAAAGAGGGAAGCAGAAACTTTCCGAAATCGAATTAGAATCGTTCGATAAGAATTATAATTCATAATTTAGAATTGCTTTTGAAATGTGATTTTATTTTAGTTGTATTCTATTTTCACTTTATAAAGTTTCCGTGGAATTAAAACTAACTCAAAAAAAGAGGCAAATTGTTGATAAAATTTATTAATTAAATTAATTAAACATTTCTTCATTTTTCTGTTGGCATTATTTTATTTAAACGGTTTTTCAAATACAAAAAATAAAACCTATCTAATTGTTGCTATTTTTATAATTTGAAAACAATTCGTTATATTTTTTTAAAAAAGCTTATGTTTTTTTTAAATAAAACTTCACTGGTTCATCAAACGGATTATTGTTATGTGTTAATTAATTGAAGACTTTTGAATAGCAATTGTTGGAACTGCTTACAAATAACATTTTATAAATTATATTTTCCAAATCAATCATGTTCTCAGAATAATTTCTGTTCAAATTTCCTTTAAATCGCTTTTTAAAAAACAGCTTAGAAACGACTTGAATTTATAAACGGTTTTAATTGCCACTGCAGAGTGATACTTTCTAAATGGAGGAACTCATTGAATTGCTTGTTCTGTTTGTTTTCAAGTGCTCCTGCCTAATTGCTCGGTAGTCGAAAGCAAAACATTTCGCCAACAGCCCCCCAGACGGAATCGTACAAGTCAGTCGAGTGTAAATAGCACGCACTATTCCAATTAGCAGCAACAGGCCGCTGCTTGTGTTCAGTTACGTATAGTATAGTCGTATAGCTCCAGTAAAATTAAACAAAGAGATGGCCGCACACAAACACAAAGTGGGGCAAGCAGGTGCTGGCAAGTGGCAAGGGGCATGAGGCATGTGGCACTCAACAAGTGCCACTTAAAGTTTATGTATACAATAATTTTGCTTCCTCTTTTCTTTGGGTGCGCCGTCGCTGACCAGCGCCATTTCCCTCCCTTGCCAAAGCGCCACCAGACATCCGCACATCCTTTTTAGCGCCCATTTCCGTTCGTCCGACACAACCACAAGCATATCCGTTCAGAAAATATTGTGAGTAGTCGCACAAAAGGCTCATTAAATGTGCATGAACGTGAGAGCTTTGAGGTGTTGTTGCAACATTACTTATTGTTGTTGTTGCTGTTGTTGTGGCTCCAACAAAAGTGTGCCTGCTGCCAGCTGGCTGCCCCTATTTTCTTGAATTACTGTGCACAGCACAAGTCGAAATGGTTGGCTAAAATGGTTGAACACGTTTGAATAACACGGACTCTTAACAGATTTCCGGGGGAGGTGCCATTAGTCGTACCATTGACTGTCTGTGAAACATATGGATGGCGTGCGGATTGGTAGACTAATGGAGAAAAAAGGCTAGACTTTGTGTTTAATAAAAGGCTGATAGGCTAAAGCTATTACGCTAGATTTGAGCCTCTTAACTTTCACAATGCGAGCTGTTTCTTTCAATTAATTAGTAGCACAAGAATCCGGCAGTTAAGCTCATTTCCTAATACCTATTCTACTCACAGTTGATATTACGACTAATTTCAAGTATCATTTTGTTAATTCTTAAGCAAATATTTTAAAAAGTAATTTACAAAATATTATTGTCCAATAATAATTCATCAGCTGCTGTTTGTCAACAACCAGCTCTATACTGATAATACTTTGAAGAAATCAATTGTAGCAGCTGATCTTTAGTTTATGGAGAGTGCTTAGCTTTAAATTAAATTTGAAATCAAATAGACAGCTGTTATTGCTTACAAAGATAGCACTGGAACTTTCTTTAAATAAAATGCTGATTGGTAACCAACAGAATGGTTTTAACTTTATCCAAAATGTGTAAATTACTTCTGTTATTTATTTTGTCTCTGCCTTCATCTAAGTATGTTTACTTTTAGGAAGTCCTCTTTCCCAAGTCATTTCAAATAATATAAAATAGTTATTCATTCATTTAATTATTTCTCGCAATATAACTAACTTATTTGTCTAATAAATTATTTTTTCTTTTAAGCTATCTAAAATCAAATGTAATGTTATTTATTCGCTAAAACCTTCAGCTGGCTTCTTTTCAAAGTAAGTAGCATTTGTAAAGTGAATTTAAATTAAATGTATGCTCGTACGTCATCATCAAAACTGGCCCTGTAATGATTTCTATAGCCATTAGCAAATGTAAACTCATATATGCATATAAATATACATACAAGTATATTCTACAAAGCACTCTCATGTGATTCCCGAGGCCGTTTGGCAACATAAAATAAAGCTGGTAAATAAATAAGCCAGACAGCAAAATTGAAATTTCCACGATGTACAATTTAAATTAAAATTTCCACACAACACATATATGTAGAGGAAGAAGTGTGTTTGTGTGTGTGTGTGTGTGTGTTAGCCAACTTACCCAAGCTCCACATATCGATGGCGGTGCCATACTGTAGGCCAAGTATAACCTCGGGGGAACGATAGAAACGCGATTGTATGTAAGTGTAGATTTTGCGATCCACATAGCAGGAGCTGCCAAAATCGATGACCTTGATGGAGCTGCTGCCGCGCTGTTTGAGCAAGATGTTTTCCTGCGATGCAATTTAGGCAATTAACTAACCACTATCCAGTATCTCCACTATCTACTTACCGGCTTGAGATCACAGTGTATGATATTCTCCTTGTAGAGCAGACGCAGGCATTTCACAATCGAATTGCAGAAACGTCGTATAAGACTCATGCTGAAACCATTGTAGTTATTCTTCTTGATCAACTCGTAGAGATTGAGACTGCAAAGATGAGAGCAGAAAATTAGTCAAGTTTCCGTTTAGGTATTCCATTAATCATGGCTCTGATGAGTCAACCCACAGTGGAACTTGTTTACAAAGCAAGTGGCGGTCTCAGAGGGGAAACGCTCAGGGAGGAAGAACAGGAAAAAGGCTCGCCCCAAGCCCGAAAGCAGGCACCGAATAACGACAATAACATGCACTGAATTAATTTGCATTGCATGTCGTGCTCAAATTCAGGTGTATAACGGTAAACAACTACCGCAGCAACAACAACAACTACAATGAACAACAGGAAAAATTCAAAACAACGTAGGCTAAAAGAGCTGCAAATGCGCTGTTCACAGTGGAACAACATCGATTGGTTTCGAAGTAAAAATGAGCAGCACTTTAAATGAGATATTCATTTAATATTAATTTTGAAACGAGAATTCTATTGAATCGAGTAATCGAATTATTAAAAATTAATGAATGATGAGATTTTTGAAACATAGGGAAATTTTTATCGATTAATCAATTGTTTTATAAAACAATTCTCAGATCTGTTGTGGGCTTGCTTATATTATTATTTGTTTATTTGCTGAAGAGTTTTGTATTCCAATCAATATTAAAATTTAAAAATAATGTATTAAAATATTGCTCAGCACATGGACAAAATAAAATTTTTGAAACAAAAATAAAATTAAAAATTGAAAATATAAATTTTAATATTAGATTTGGAACAAGTTTTAGAGTTTATTTACCGAATAAAAAGCCCCTTTCGCTATTCAAAAATAGTTAAAGATTTGCGATCAAGTTAAATATTAAATATTCAAAGATATTAGGATAACTATATATAAAGCACTTTTCTTAGAGTGGAGTTCTTTTTATAAATGTATTAAAATATTAATCGAAAAAGAAAACTTTAATAAGGAATGTGATAAATTTATATTTAGGGATTGATATTAGAGGCATTAATTAGTCGATTTTTTATAAAAAAAAATAAATAAAAGTGGTTTTAAAAAACAGTTTTACTTTTAAAGAATTAAGAGAAAAGAATATTTAAATATTTTATCGTACAGCCTACTTCCCCGATTTAGCATTTCAAAGTAAATGCCTGTTTTTTAATATTTCTTAATTTGTTCTTCTCAATGACATTTTTAACCACTGTACAGTGCTTGGCTGACTTGTAGGCGTTGTCTTTTTCTTCGCTTTTTGAATTCCCCCCTTTTTGACTATTTTTGGTCTTTTCATTCACATTTTTGCGAATTTTGGTGATTAATTAACTGATAACGACTGTTTTGCCAATGTCATTGCAACAGACATTTTGTATACGAGTATGGGAGGTTGGCAAACATTTCTTCTTCCTCCACTTTTCGCCATTTACGTCATTACGAAGTTTGGTCAATTGTTTGGCTGTCGTTTTGTTTAACATATTGATTGATGATCTCTGTGATAGGTTGTAGGTGTGGCAGCTTTAGCTATTTGTCTTTGCCATATTTTCCCACATGCTCGCACTTTTTGACACATATATTTTATGCTGATAGCTTATCTGCTAAGCTTGGAATACTATATTTATTGAGCTCTGACTCAACTATCAAATATGAGTTTTTCCTTGTCATCATACAAGCCTCTATCAACAACTTTGACTCGAGATACGAGAGCTCAATGGAAACGATGGCCTATAAACGCAAAAAGCCAAACTAATAACTGGTTCTGCCAAAAATATTAGGCTGAGAAATGGACTAGATATGTGAATGGTTGCAAATAAGTTGTCAGATAGAACTTAAAGTCAGGGAGAAAACTACTTGCAGTATTAATTTATGTATTAAATTAATTTGACATTCATCTTGCCAATTGTGTGGCATTTATTTAATGTCTTGAGTACATTTAAACGTCTTTCAAAGCCGCTACTCTCATCTCAACAATCACACTCGCATAATCCAGTTCCAGCTACTCTCGTAGTTTGGTGTCGCTTGCCAATCAATTTTCCAGCACAATTTTCACTTTCACGATTCGCCAAAATGCAATTCTCCCAACTTTATGTCACGACCACAAAGTAAAAATGCAAAGTTGATTTGCCAGGCGGTCTTAAGGCAAGGTGCTAAAGTTTTTGAAAAAAAAAGCTGACGTTGACACAATTTTCCACACTTTTGTGGTGCATAAAAGTTCTTGGAAAATGGAGAACCTCTATTCATTTTGCATGAGAAAGCAAGGTAAAGGAATAAAGAATACATTGGCTCTTGCCAATTTTCAGCCATGAAATATGCAACAAAATGGCTAAAGTGAGAAATTTTCCTTTTCTGTGGCCAGCAGAAATAAAAAGGGAGCAGAGAAACAAAGAGTGAAAGAACTGTTGAGAGCTTTAGACACAAAATCTATATTGATTGCAGCTTGCATTTGGATTTTTTCGATTGGCATCATCAGAAGAAGTCGCTTTTATGTTATTCAGAACAATTCAATAATATGGAACTGTGAAAGTTATATATTATATTGAGTTTGTAGTAGATATTGCAATATTGGTATCATCAGAAGAAATTCTATTCAGAAAAAAATACTACGATATTGCGGCACAATGGGAACTACGTTTTTTAGGAGATATTGAAATAATATAAAGAAAACATCAATTCCATTTAACAATTCGACAATAATATCGTATATTACAGCACAATTGGAAATGTATCTTATATAGCGTTCGTAGTGGATATTGAAATATTGGGATCATCAAAAGAATAAATAAATAAAAGAAACAAAGCATCTCATTACACATATCGATCGTTGATAGCATGAGATTTTTAATAATGATTTTATCATACATTTTCTAAGCCTTGATCTGGGTGTTACAAATAAGCAACAGGGCTACTGAATACTCTTCATCATATAAATGATTTATAAAGAGCGCAGCTTTTTTATTTATTTAAAAGCGAATTTTGTAGTCTAGAACACTGTTATAATCAGGAACACATACTATATAGAAATATTTGCAGAGCTGGGCATAACTAAAAGTTACTGATGTTGTTTATTTGGGGCGTGTGTTGCACAAACCAGGAATGTCTTCTGTTCATTCCAGTTTATCCTTTGGTGATTGTTGTTGGCGCGATAAATGTCGACATTAGTAGCTCGTTACAGAATGCAATGCATGCCAAATGGCCCCCAAAACCTTAACACACGCCATTCTCTACCGCTGCATAGAACACAGCAAATCAATCAAATTACTAACGGAATTTGGCACGAGTTGCCAACAAACTTGAATACTGTGGGAGGAATATTAAAAAGCGAAATAAAGGAGAACCGACGAAAAACGTAAACAATTTTCAAGTTCATGTTCAGTGATTTGGTATTGGGCGGACAGGCAGGCAGGCGGACGGTCGGACGGATGGATAGGCATGTCATAATGCAGTTATAATATGCTATTTTGACACAACAAATGTTGCATAGTTTGCGGCGCACACACACACACACATGGGCGAATAGGTGCGCTTTTGTTTGCCGATTGAAATTATGACATTTTGATGATTTTCTTATTGGTTTGTTATAGAGCCGTAGTCGCATTTCCAGTCGCCAATATTCGTGTCTGTGCATGCCTCTAAACGCCAACCATCATCGCCATTGCTATTTATAGCTTGGCGCAATCAATAAACAAAGTCAAAGACAGAAATGACAATTTTAAAGCTCACACCGACTGAAGAGCTAAAGAGCTTTAAAGTGTTACTTTCAGGGCGCATTAAAGAGCGACTCTTGGTGACTTAGTTGAGCCGTCAATTCGCAAAAGGACTCGACAGTCGGCCATGGAAGCCATCTCCTAAACCAATGAGCTTAGCGCGCTTTAAGGCGCCAATATGGCCTTGTACTGCTTGTGTATGTGTGTGTGTGAGTGTGTGTGTGTCTTTATTACTTGACGCCAGACTTAAGTTCTTTTTCATGCGATTACATGATTGCGCCATCTTTAAAGCATGGCGTGACACGCCTGTCTTATCATAATTTGGCATGTAATTCAATTAGCGTTACTTCCTAGACTCAAATGACAAGCCGACACGTCTTTAGCCCTTATTAATGATGATTTCTGGCCTGACCTTAATTTGTAACACTCTCCCAGGTACAGCCTTACAGTGATGTTCATGTGATTGGTGCAGCTTCTAACACAGGCTTTTGATTATTTAAACCAATGTGAAGGCAACGTGGAACAAACCTATGCATATTATTGCTTTAAATATTTCAAATTACATGTTTGAATAATATTATGCTTTGTTTTTTGACTCCTTCATTTAATATCCAAATCATTTATTTTATTAAAGATCTAAGCTTTTTTCGCTTTAAATATTTAAAATTACATATTTGAATAATATTATGGTTTTGTTTTTGGCTCTACATATTTATAGACGCTTTCGTTGTAAAAATATTATCCAAGTGGTTTATTTTATTAAAGACCTAAACTTTTTATTGCTTTAAATATTTCAAATTATAACATTTTTGAATAGTATTATGCTTTGGAAATTGTTTTGCTTAGAATGCGGAGTTTGTATTTATTTCCTTAGTTGTAAAAATATTATCCAAATCATTTTTTTTTATTAAAGATGATTATTGCTTGAAATATTTCAAATTAAAATATTTTTGAAGTGTTTTATACTTTAAAGAGTGTTTGCATTTATTTTTTGTATTTATTTCTTGACTTCTTAGTTGTAAAAATATGAACCAAATTATTTGTTTAATTAAAGACCCTATGCTTATTATTGCTTTAAATATTTCAAATTATACTTTTTTAAATATTTTTATGCTTTAAAAGTTGTTGTTTTTTAGCATGCGAAGCTTAAAACATGACTGTATTAATATTTTAATTCATTAGTTGTAAATATATTATTCAAATCATTTATTTTAATATTCATAACAATTTGTTACTACTAGAAATAATAATTGTAGGCGGCTGTGAGGTCAAATCAAAGGATTTTAAACATGAAACCGACTTTGCCCTAAAGCTATGTTTAACACTGACTTATCGAAATTATCCTCATAGTTAGTTTCGCACT